GGGAGGGAGACAAGCTGAGGCCAAGTCCCTCAACCCCAGACATGGGCCCACTGAAGGTTGCCAGGGATTGGCAGATGCACGTGGACTTGGATCAGAGGCTAATTTTTCCCACTGAGATCGTAACAACTGCTCTGCGACCAGACCTCGTCCTTTGGTCTAACTCCCAAAAACTTGCGTACGTCATTGAGCTGATGGTACCATGGGAGGAAGCAATTGAGGAAGCTTTTGAGCTTAAGAAGCTCAAAGTACAGAGGCCGGAAGATCAAGGTGTGCCCAGTGGAAGTGGGGTGCAGGGGCTTTGTTGCCAGTACAACAGCAAAACTGCTTAGAGAGATTGGGATCAGAGGACAGGCGCAACGGCAGGCTAAACGGCCGGGTAAAAGACCGAAAGTTGAGGGATAACGATGAGTGCCGCTGGTTAAGTTTCTGGGCTGCCTTTTCTCATAACAGCCATTCCTCAAGATTTTCTTCATTTAAAGCAATGCATTATCTGGGACTGTAACATCTAGTCCTTTTACTGAACCTGTTTTTTCAAACTGTTTTTGGAGTTTATTATATATATTACATCTCACCACTTTACAGCGTCATGTATCTTTGCAGAGTAAAAAATTACCTTTGCTCATATAAAAAAAAAAAATCTAATTAAGAACATGATAGACACATGGAATCATTATAAAGCTGGTTTTTGTTTTGTTTTGTTTTTTTAGTGCTGTTGTTAAGAATACTTTTTTCTGGAAAGTCATAATTTTGGAAAGTGGGAAACTGAACATAAACAGATGAATCCCAGTGCAAACCAATTCTCAGCTTTTAAATTGTATGGGGAAGGTGTGTAGTCAAATACCCCAGTGTTTACTCTGACCAGTTATTTTTGCTGCTGTACATATACTTTAATGACTGTAGCTTTTTTACATGACAATTTGCTGTTGTTTCCAAGTATGTTAGGATGTTACAGTATTTTATTAAAGGGATTATAAATTTGAGTGGGGTGAAAGTCATTAGGTCCCTTTACCATCACCGTCACCACCACTGCCTCAGACTCGGTATTCAGACTTGGTGCAATCTAAACATCCCCTCAGTGTTTTAGCTACGTGACGTAGAGGCACACATAGACTGACTAAAATTATCAAAAGATTTTACTGATTTCTTAACACTGTACATTCCCTTTTGAGAAATAATATTATAGGTCTCCCTTTCCTGTCTTTCACATGTGTACATTAAATCTATTTTTTTTTATGAGTGCTAGACAGTTCAACTCACACAAGACAATCAGTGTGAAGGGGTCACTCCATTTTGCTAAGAGATAGTCACTGCTACCCCGACATCTGTAGTCTCCACTGTGGGACACTGAAACTCTGCTGATCCTGTATTCACTGGATGTTTCAGGGATGTTTGGGTTTGGTGATTTCCATTCATATGTCATCTCCTTGCCTTCCCCTCCTTGGATCTCACATTGAAGGATGATTGTCTCACCAATGAACATCTGAGCCCAACGGTGTTGCGACTTTACAACATACAGGACTGTTCCCAAAAAACAAACACAATGTGAAGAAAAACACAAATATAAAAAGAGAAAAGAAGTTAACAGGTAAAAGGTTTATGAAGTATTACATTGATGTCAGTGATTAATATTTGTTATTTCAAAATGTAACACTCACCCCGTTTCTTAATTTTAACTGGAACGCTGTCCTCTGTGGAGAAAACTGGATCTCCTCTCCCTCCTCTGCAGTAATAGATGCCTCCTTCTGAAATACTGATCGTGTGCTCTGATGTTCCAGCTCCTATTTTCTGAGCCACAGAAAACGCTGAATCACGTCTGAACCAGTCAAACTTCCAGCCTGCAGAGCCCTCCACAGAGCAGCTCAGTGTCACACTGCCCCCTGCTGGTATAACTCCCTCATGTGCTGTTATTAAGGCCCGAGGTTTACTGGCTGTTTAAAGTAAAATATAAAACAAGTAAAACACAAAGATATGACTTGCTTCGGCAATACATTTGTTATAGAAATTTATAAAAACATTATCTGGTTTGTGAGCTATTATTGACTGAAGCTTTTAAGTTTTCCTTAATAACTTATATTCTAATGCAGTAGAGTTGTATGTGATATCAGCAGTGTTGGGTAAGTTACTTTAAAATAGTAACTTAGTTACATTACTAGTTACTTCTCTCAAAAGTAACTCAGTTACTTCAAGTTACT